TTTTTAAGTCTGAATTTACTGTTTTAAAACATTGATTGGGATATTTCAAACAATATATAAAGTGAAATGCCTTTTTTAAGCCTGAATTTACTGGGAAATCTCGAGCCTTTTAACTTTATTGATTTAAAGCATTTACTAACACTAACACTAGGACTAACACTATCAATGCAACGAAGTATAAGTTAAGTTGATTCATTTCAAATTTGGGCCCTTTTTCAAAAAAATAACAAAATGTGTCAAGAAGGCTTTCGGGCATTGCTCACTAACACTAGATTTGGTGGCGCAACCTTTTTCTCGTGTTAAAAACCATTATAAAATTACAGTCCGTAGTACTGAATTAGGGTAGCCTTTCGTATGGTCTTTTTTTTTTTTCTCGGTTTTTACTGTGGCGCAATGATTCAAAAATATTCTACCCAGAAGCACTTGCGTGCTCACTGATAACATATCTGGATAAGCCGTATTACAATATGGCGACGTCTTGGTGTTGTAAAATGTTTTTTTTTTTTCCTTTTGCCATCATTGTAAGGCTAAGTAGAATTTTAGGCCAAATGTAAAAGTTGTTTTGTTTGTTTGTTTTCTTCGAAAGGAAAAGCTTGCGGGCCTTGTTGTTGAAAATTACCTTTAATCTTTAGATTATTGACGTATTTATAAAATTGTCACTACAAATGTAGCCCAGGTGTTACTTCATATTGAGTCAGTTTATATTTACAACGTTTAATGTAAAGGACTGATAAAAAAAATGGACGAAATTGACAATTTTCTGTTTGAAATATATAAGGAACTCCATTGTTAATGAGAAGAATTTTTAAAAAAAATTTAATTTTTTGCATTTTTTCGTAACCTTTACGTTATTACATTTTAAAAAATAAAAAAAAAAGGTGTGATTGGATTGTTCTTCACAAGGTGGGAATTTAGAATAAAGTAGAGTTCACACTCCTGCTGAGTATGAAAATGTGTGAATTTATATACAGAATCGAAGGTCGTGTAAGTTGCGTGTGGAAATAAACTAAAGAACAACTGTTAGAAAATAACACACATTAATAAAATCCTATGATAACTATAAAATGTTTTGAACATGACATCTTTTAGCAAAGAGTAGAATCTTTAAAACGTACACATTTACAATTAAGCTTATCCGTACGAAGTATGGCTGCTTTACAATAGTATTATTTAATATTTCCTGATCATTTTGTGGGTTTGAAATCTTTTTTTTTTCTATCGAAGGGTGTGAATCCACACTTTTTGGGTGGGTGCTTACTTTTTATGTTAAGAATACTCTGTAACTATCGCATACTACAGTTCAGGACGGCGCTGGTGTGGGGGACAGCCCCCCTAAAATATTGTTGCCCCCCTCTCCAAGTTGATGCATTCAATTAATCTAATGTTAGGCTTATTTTAGATTTGTCCCCCTTATATGTCTCATCGGCCCTCACCCCAGTTAAGGAAAACCAGAGCCGGGGCCGCTACGACCTAAAGTGAAATATGGGATAATACGAAATGCTTATATTAAAAAAGGGTCGTTGAATGGGACAACTTCCCCTGTTATTAAACTATACATACACCTCACATTATCTGCAATTCATCGTTAATAACATTCAACACGTATAACCAATAAATATTCTATGAATGAAGAAAGGTAGCAGCGCAACGTCTTTAGATTTTAGAATATATTTCACGTAAATTCAAACTAACCAATCATATTATAGGATAGAGTCCAGCCCTTTTACGTAAATTCAAACTAACCAATCATCTTATAGGGTAGAATCCAGCCCTTTTACGTAAATTCAAACCAACTAATCATCTTATAGTGTATAGTCCAGCCATTTTACGTAAATTCAAACTAACCAATCATCTTATAGGGTATAGTCCAGCCATTTTACGTAAATTCCAACTAACCAATCATCTTATAGGGTATAGTCCAGCCATTTTACGTAAATTCCAACTAACCAATCATCTTATAGGGTAGAGTCCAGCCCTTGTACGTAAATTCAAACCAACCAATCATCTTATAAGGTAGAGTTCAGTCCTTTTTTTCGAAGGCGAACTTTACTGTCAAGCCTGGGTTGTGGGAAAAAAATCATTAAAAAAAATGACCACAAACCGAAGGCACGCGAGAAAAAAAAACTGGCTATTTTCTAACAAATATACCGGATATGGCCAACAGGAAAGACGTCGAAAGTAGTTAGGTCGGAATTAAAGAAACCCGAATGCTTTCCGAAATCGTTCGGGTTTGCCTATTTTCTCCAGCTTCTTTAATTATTTAGACTTGCAATCTGCTGGTCGCGAGTTCGAATGTCGTCAGCGAACATGCTCGCCATTTCAGCTGTGGAGTTGTTATAATATGACGGCCAATCCCACTTTTCGTTGGTAAAAAAAGTAGTCCAAGAGTTGGCGGTGGGTAGTGTTGACTAGCTGCCTTCCATCTAGTCAATCACTGCTAAATTAGAGACGGTCAGCGCAGATAGCCCTCGAGGACCTATGCGAGAAATTCCAATAACAAATAAATTTGAATTCTCTTTTAATGGTACGATGCTATTGTTGTCATGCTGTGTTGTACCCCTTAGATCTTATGAATAATCATTCCTATTTTTAATCTAATTTTTAAAAATGTATTTAAGATGTTTATGTAACTAATTCTGTTCAAATCTTATCCTCTTTAGCAATGAAATATACATATAAAATTCTAAAATAGTTCAAAATGCATTTGAATATTTCCGCTAAGACTAATTATCTTCAGATATGACCGATTAGGCTTAAGTCCACTACAATAAAAATAATATTATTCTATGCTTATAATGTATAAATCAATAAGTTATACATATATATATATGGTTATATGCGCGGTATGCCATAACCTCATTCTTTTAAAATATTGTTCGTGTTATTAATTGTTATTTAAGGAAGTTTATTTCTTATTTAAGTAGTGATTAATTTGAGATAATTTTCAGTAACTACAGCAAACTTTGGGATAATACGAAAACAGCAAAATAGTTTGAGATAATATAGCAAAAATAAAAGAGATGAGACAATGTTGTAACTACAAATTTCAACAGTAACTGCAGGAACGTTTGTGATAATTCAGTAACGACAGATAAACAATTCTCTGACACTATTCTATTAAATTACTACATTGAATTTTTATTAGCTCGCCTGAAAATTGGTTTTAAAACCTATTTTTACAATTCTTATTTCGATTAATTAGGAAATTAATTAGTTACTTTTCACATCATATTTCTTAATATCTATATCATTTTAGGCCCAAAAATTAAAAATGATTGATAATCATGTTGCAAAAGGCTTTATCTTTATGTAAAAAGTCGTAATGATACATTTGCATTCGAGTAGCAAAAGTTGAGCTTATTAATTGTATACTGTATTCCTAGATGACGCCACATATTTATAGCTCTTCCTACCTCTCAGTGCTTGGAGTCCTTATTGTGTTTCAATCCCGCGATTTTCAAATACCGAGACGAAAAACACCTTAACCACTAGGCTACAGTTTTAAATATTTTAATGTGTGTGTCACATTTTCTGGTGAAATATCAAGTATTTTCTATTTTATATATTGTAAGATTTTAATAAACCAACAGATTGCTAAAGTTTAAAACCTTCAATCTGTTCATGTAAACATAAGAAAAATCTTATATGTTGTAAACTTTTGGACCAACAACAAAAAGCAAGGTGAAATAAAATCAAATACTATCAATGATCTTATAGCGTTTGTCCCACGGTGACTCAGCGGTAAATCTGTGGGCTTGAAATTTTAAAAATCAGATTTCGATATTTGCGTGGGCAGAGTACAGATAGCCTATTCTGTAGCTTTATGTTTAATAACGAACAAACACATTTACATGATTTATTCTATGGTTATCTACAAGCCCTGCCTGTCATATAATCTCT